GAACCTCAAAGCGCTGTACAATTCCACTATTCATTCACTCTCACATTCACACACTGGTGGAGGCAAGCTACAGTTGTAGCCACAGCTGAGTCTCTTTGTTAGATCCCAGCACTCCCTTACAGGTCTCATACTAACCAGGAGGCCTTTGGTTTGAATCCAAACCCCTCCAGTCTGCATGTCGAAGTGTCTTTGGTGCTTCGATACTTGTATAAAGCCTAATTGTTATATATATATATATGATATAAGGAAAAGCTTGTAGTTTTAGCAATGGAAGGTATTTACTGATCAGCAGGATCCTTAAGGATGAAATTAAAAGAGGCGATATGAAGTGTTAGTGCTGACATAAACCACAATTTAACCAGCTGTGTTAACAGAGGCTTCATTTACCCAAGCATAATTGGCACTTTTCTTTATGAAGTCACGTAGAAATGAACAAATTTTCAAATTCTCATTAATGTAAAGACATATAACAGAAAAAAATATTTCTTCTTAGATTGAGGGAACATGCATTATTTTTGTCAATAATAATCTATTGCAGTGCATTAATGAATGATCTGCATGCCATTCATGAGTTTGTTAAAGCACTCATCATCAGATATTGTCTTCCACTCGGTTGCACTGCAGACCCAAGCATGTAAGGCTACATATGCAGTTGTGGTGTGAATGAGACACGGCGGGTCCAGGGATCATAGGTTTGAGCCATTTTATTCAATATTTGTCACACCACAATACCCGCCAACCCCTGAGTCCCCGTGTTTTTAACTAGGCAGGCGTGATTAAGAATGCCGCGCAGGTGCGTCCGCCCTCCCTGCACGGCACCGCAGACCACGCCCCACCACAGCAGTATAATCACGACATGCTGTCAGTCACGTAACATGAATCCGAACTCATTTCAATTAGTATAAGAGTGACAGGGGAGTTGTTTTATAGCCAGTGCACTTTGGATAACAGAAAACAAATACAGCTGTGAATTCATTTCTCTTAATTAGTCGCTAATTAGCATTTAGCTATTGTCTTTCTAAGCCTAATTAGCGTAATTATTCAGAGTCTAATTTGCTGCTGGGGGCACATACCGAGAGTCTGAGTGGAATGATTGAGATGTAGGATGAGCTCTGAATGGTCTGTGTCCTGACCTCGAGAAAATCTACAAGGAAAACTATGCAGAGTTCATAAACCATAAACCATAAAGTGAGGAAAGTCTAACTTCACCAACAATAATGTTTATTTCAGTAAAGAGTGCTCTTTATGTGGAAAGCGGAGGCAACTGTTTATGCTAAATGTCAGCATATCACGTCTACTTGCCAGCCTGAAGTTAGAGGAGCAAATGCTGGAGGCTGCAGTTTCCATTATATTGAACAATGCAGACGCTTTGGTCAGAACAAATGGCATTTTGATGATTTTGCTTTTCTTACAGCCCTACCACCGGTGGGGCTTAAAATGCCATCCTCAGGGCTGCATTACAGAAGGAGTCATAGTTTTTCAAAACAAACACTACTTCACCTTGGGAGTATGAACATTTTGTGTAAATTATCCACTGAGAACCATCAATGTCCAAAGGAAATTTCAAGGTAATCTGGGCTCAAATTGTGAGACAGAGAAAAGGGGAGTCATCGCAGTTCAGAGGGCCCTGGCTGGCAGCAAATGGAAATGAAAAATTGAAAACATGTCAACAGTGTTTTAGACACAGTTTAAATGATCTACTGAACAACTAAGCAGCTTTCAGAACAGCTAACTGAGCAATCAGGGTTTTTTTTTCACCCTGAACGCAAATGCAGGCACAGTAAGCGCTTGTCATTACAGGCACTATTTTGCCATGCATGTCTGTGTTTGAGGCAGAGACTGATACAGATTTATTCATGTAATTCAGTGCTCTGGTTATTCAGTTAATTCAACAATATTAAAAATAAATGAATTGCAGTTTGCACTTAATAAAAAGAAAATCATTGATCACCTGTTAATTATGCATCAAAGGTGATACTGTGGAGAGACATAGAGCATTTTCACAACATGTTTTTTCAAGACCACAAATACATTTTTTTTTTAACTTTTTAGGTAAATACTTATTTTTCTATTGCAGGATGTGTCAGGAAGAGTTCAAGACAAATAGGAGCACTTTTTTGATCGTTTCAGTTTTCAACAAAGTAGATATAATGAGCTCAGATTAGAAACGTGTTCTACATAAGGCTTATCACTGTATTCAGACATTTTTTCCGTCTGCATTTGGCACAGCCTGCGATTTCGAAACACGAGCTGTTCACTTTGTCTTTCTACCGAAGCCTTCATTCTTACACACTTGTGTGACACAAGGCAAAAAGTCCTACCGCATTGTTTTCACAAAAATAGAACAACGCAATGAAATGTCAGAACCTAATAAGATTAATGAAGTTGTAAAGTGTGTGCTTTGTCACTTGTCATAACAGAGACACGCAGAGAGAGAACGACCTGGCTTAGGATCATATTTTAAGGTTTGTCTTATTTTTAGGAACAGAAGCGAGATGACAAACTACCAGGTTTTTGACTTAACAAGCACAATGTGCTCAC